CAACCAGACCACTGTCACAATACTTTCCTCTGCTCTTGTCCCAACTGTAAAAGATAAAGGACCTGTGAATATTTTTGCTGGAAAAAGAGCTGAGGACAGCTATTTGGTTGTAAAAATCTTCTTCTAGAATATTTCCCTTTAACCTACCAGGACCCTAGCTGTCACCTCATCTTTTTTTTCAACACAATGGATACAGACTGTAGGGACTGTAATAGTACTAAACTAATTTCCAACACTGTTCTTCTTGATTTCTTTCTCTTTTATCTTTAATGTCAATCTGTCCATTTCTGCAGATGTGTATTTCTGACCAAAATCTTTTAGCTTTAGGGCATGTCCACCAGATATGATAATAAGTACCTGGTTTTTGTTTACATTTCCAACAGTTATTTGATGTATTTTTGAACATTTTCACTAATCTCACCGGTGTAAGATGCCATCTGTAAAACATTTTGTATAAGTTTTCTTTGTAAGCCATCGCTTTCATTAATTTAGCATTTCTTTCCCATAATCTTTGCCAGTTTTCTAGTTCTATATTATTGCCCGTGTTATCATTGCTTCTTTTACTTGTTACTCTTCCATCTTTAAGTTTAACAAATATTTATAGAATTTCTTAATCAATTTTTCATCTGTTTTTAGCAGTATCTGGTCAAATTCTCTCTGTTCTTTATAAAATCCCGTTGTTTTAGCATCTTTTTCATATCACGTTTGAATTTGCAAGTGTGGCTTTCGTGATAGATCAATACCTTGTTCTTATAAATCTTGTTCCTTCATTGTCTAAAATATCTTTACAGATCACCACATTCTCGTAGTTAGGTTTGGGTAAGCAAATGCTTCCATTGTTGAAAGCCATCCAGCTATTTTAATATAGATTTTCGCTTTTATTTTTTCCCATTCTAGAAGAAGTGCATTTCTTATAAAGTGGTTTTGAAAGTATCTATGTATTTTGTTCTTAATAATAATAGTAAAGTTGGAAGGGACCTTGGAGGTCATCTAGTCCAACCCCCTGCTCAGGCAGGAAACCCTACACCATTTCGGACAAATGGCTGTCCAGTCTCTTCTTAAAAACTTCCAGTGTTGGAGCATTTACTGCTTCTGGAGGCAGGTTGTTCCACTGATTAATTAGGCCAGTGGTGGTGAACCTATGGCACTGGTGCCAGAGGTGGCACTCGGAGCCCTCTCTTTGGGCACACACACCGTCTATCCAGCCCCGTCTCCTCCCACAGCCCCCTCTTCACAGCAGCCCCCCCAGAGGAGAGTCGCCCCTGGGCACGGCCCACACGAAGCAGTGCAGCCAAGGACATGGTTGCCGGGCAGTGGGGACAAGATGATGTTGCGGGGCACGGGCGGAGAGCGTGGCCGCCATGCTGCTGGGCTGCCTGGGTGATCTGTGGCGGGCCGCGGAGGTGGTGGGTGGCCCATTGGGCAGGGTGGAGTGGGGACGGGCAGTTTTTGGGCACTCGGTCTCTAAAAGGTTCGCTATCACTGCCTTAGGCACAACAAGATGGAGACTATGTTATGAAGACAAAATACTCAAAAAAAGGAAAGAAAGAAAAAGAAAGAAAGAGAAAGAAAGAAAGAAAGAAAGAAAGAAAGAAAGAAAGAGAAAGAAAGAAAGAAAGATCAGGATATTTGGATAAGCCTTAGTAAGACCAGCCTGAAGTCATGTTCTGAGTACCACAATTCAAGGAATAGTCAGTAAAATGGGGGCAAGTTTAAAGAAAGGCAGTAAAGAAACTAGAATTTAATTTTTTTTGAAGCAAAATTAATGGACATAGATAGGTTTAGTCTTGAGAATATGCAACTTAAGGTGGATATTTTTCAGATCCTGAGGTTATAAAAAAAACTGAAAGATTTGTTCTCTCTGCTTGTTTCATAGTATGTGCCATTGAATAATGAGTCTTAAGGTAAAGCAGATTGAATACTAGAAAATATTAGATTCTAACTGAATATTAGAAAAAAGACCACATTTCTGACAGTATGAATAGTTTGAGAGTTGAAACTATTACTGAGAGATAGGATGGTTCCTTTTCATTAGATGTGTTCAAGTAAGAGCTAGATATCCATCTGTCAGATAGTTTAATTTGGTTTCCTGCACTTAGTTTTGGACTTAATGATCTAAGTGACCTCTATCACTTCTATGGTTTTATGATTCCAGTTTATCAAAAGTAACACCAAGTGACAAAGAATATAATAGCTGAGTTTTGGCTGATGTATTGACTATGAACTTAACCCAGACAAAAATGAGCATTCTTACTAGAGTACTTTGATGTCTCAGGGTGTCTTGGTGTTGCCTGTATCAGGATCAGTGCCTCAGTATTTTTAGTGTGAATTGCCCTCAAGTATAGAATAGTTTTCTTTAATCTGGGCTCTCTCCTTAATTGTGAATTTCAGCTCCTTGAATTTCTCTGTTACCAAGTTAAATTCTGAAGTGTATACATAAGGAGCATGCTAAACTTTGCAAAGAATGGCTAGGAAATAGGAAAGGACAAACTTGCAGAATACAATGTTTCTATGGCAAAAATTACTGCTGTCTACCTTGAATGCTCTTTTAACTTTGAGATGTAGGGGGTAGTTGCATTTAGGGATCAAAGTTGAAATCTTTAGGTTCATATGCAACAGTAGCCATGAGACCATAGACACAAAACATGAGTAATAAAATAAACTGTTTTATTTAAACAGTTTCAATAATCAATTCCCATTCACACTCTCATTCACTCCCTTTAGTGCACCTTGTCTTAGCAGGCTAATGAGGTACAGAAGAGGGACAGGTCTAGTGATTAATGAACCAGGTTAGAAATCAGGAGACTGTGAGTTCTAGTCTTACTGGAGGCATGAAAATTGGCTGGGTGACTTTGGGCCAGTCTCTCACTTCACAGGGTTGTTGTGGGGAAAATATAAGGAAAGTATATTAGGTACGTTTGCCACTTTGAGCTAATTATCAAAATAATAAAGGCCGGATTAAAAAATCTAAATAAAAAAACCAGATCAAAAGTTTTCCACTAATTCTTGTAATGTACTTTACCCGCAATCGTGGGAACTTCCGACTGGCCTGGTGACCCCTCCTTATTTTGTGTCAGTGACCAGCTCCGTCAGCTGGTGTGGCTCGTGCAAGAGTGGCCGCAGTCTCCGAAGTTCTGGTAAAAGGACCCGGGGTTGCTGCCTCGATTCCAACGGCACCTGCATCCTCAGTTGTGCCTGGGTTCTCTGTCCACGACACGGATCAGCTCTCTCTTCCTTGAGGGAATGAAAAGCAACTCTCAGCATGTTGATGGCTTGCTCTAGGAACCGGCTGGAGTGGGCTGGTCTTTCTTCCTCGTCTTCGCTAGATGGAGTGATCTCTCCATCTCCACTTTCCATCCCGGTTGTGACTGCTGCGTTTGAGGGTCACCTTCTGGGCCTTCTGCTCCCAGTCCTCCTCCTTCTCAATGCCCATAGACCACCTCGGTTTATCTCGGTGCTTGGCAACCACGGCTTTATCAGAGGAGCTGGAGGAATGTGAGCTGCATCTGCTTGGGCCAGCCTGGAGGGAAACTTTCTCCCCCATGGCGGCTTCTCCGTACCTAAATCAGACATGGTTTGAGTGGTCCTTGCGGTAAGGATCTTCCTTCCGGGTTGACCAATTACTGCAGATCCTAATGTGAGGACTTGCTTCAAAACCTCTTCCCAAGAAAGCAGAACGCTTGGAACAGATTCATCCCAGAAGGAACTTTTATTAGGAGAAGTTGACAGCAGGCATAGAAGGCAGGATCTGAGGGTTTTCTGCTCAAATCAATAGGTTAAAGGAGCAAAAAGCAAATCCCACCCCAACAGTTCATCCGGTCAGTTCAAACGACCCAATCCCCAGGTGTTAAGTCCACTGTGGGAGTGAGGCTGATAAGACTCCGTTCCAAGATTGTGAAAACGTTGTTGGGTCTTCACACCTTCCCTTCTGCAGCGAGAAATAAGCCAGATGGCAGGAGGCACATTCCTTTCTCACCCCAGGTTGGCATCAAGGGGAGAATAGTTCAAAGAACAAGTAGATAGAGGAAGCGGAGAAGATACATTATAGCAACTAAGCGAAAGGCCAACACACACACAATCTCCCAAAAGCCTCCCCCCTCCCACCAGGAGTTTGCAGAACCCATAGAAAGGAAAAGAGAAAGAAAGGAAAAGAAAAAGCCCCCCCCCCAAAGAAATGGGTTCTGACATCCATTCTTCTTTTATAGACTGCATATACAACTTTTTTCCTGTGAATGAATCTTCCCTTCTCTGCTGGAATATACTATTAAATAGTTTGTCTTTTAATGCAGACTTCTTTTTCTAATGGAATATGATGCTAAGTTGTTTCCACTTACTCATTTAGAATGCTTTTTTCTCACAAGCTTAGAATCTTCTATTGATCTTCTATTGATATAAATTGATGCCTGTCTTTCCATGGTCAAAAATGGTATATCAACTCATTTATAACATTTCTAATTTCTTTTGCATTTCATATGGGGAAAAGTTTGTGTGTAGGAAGTTATTGTGGATAGACTATAGATCTGTTGAGTTTCTGAACAACTGTAGTAGATTGAATTTTGGTGAACAACTATTCTTTCTAGAGTGTATCAGTTACAAATTCCTAAAGGTCTATCTGTAAAGTAATTGTTGAAACTTATTTATCACAGTAAATGTTTGTCTGGATCCATTTTTTTTCTTAGGCTAAAATCTGAAATTTGATGTGAAGGACTAATACTAAGGATGTATGGACTCTGATTTATATTGCCATTTAATATACACAATGTGGGTCTTTTGTCTTTTGGGTCCAAAGTCTGTATCTTTTGGGTCACATGGATTATAAGATGTACATTGGAATTTCTTAGACTTTTGAAACACAAATGGTGATTGCAAATATGTTAAAATCTCACTTTAAACCATCAATTTTTTTTTTTAAATTGTTGATCCTGTTGGAAATTCTTGAAGTAAATTTGAAAATAGAAAAAGAAAATGTTAACTATACCTTAATATTTTGTGGTTCTTAGAAAACAAGAATGAAAACAAAACAGCTGTAGGAGAGATAAGAGTGCCAGAATATTCAAGTAATCAAAACATACAAGCAGATACACAAGACCAGCCCATTTGGGGAAATTGCAGTGATGGTAATATTATCAGAAGTAAGTATTTGCAAAACAGCAAAGCAAAAAAAAGTTCCTTTTTTTGAGTGGGAAGGAGGGAGTTTAATGTAAACTTGAAGTTTAATGTATTACAATATGTTACCAAGTATATCACATTTCTTCCCAAGAATTATTTCTGTAAATTTTCTGTATTAAAGAGGAGAAACTGTAACACAGATAAGTTATATGGATGATTTTAGTTAGGTTCATATGTTGTATTGAATTATAAATCATTTATAAAGTATAATGGCTAGATTCACATAATGTTCTACCCTAACCAAACAAGTCACATTGTAATTTAGGGTGGTAAATCCATACAATATTTGAATTGCTGTTTTTATAATTATAGCAATATATGTTATATAGTTCTGGTTATTTTCCAAGATGACGTATTTTGTTAAACTGCAACAGAATTTGTTTGTTTGTGTTTAGTTTAGAGGTCTCCAACCTATGGGCCACGGGGCTGCGTGAGTGGCTGGCCAGTATATGCATGGACTTATTTCTTCCGAGAATCTGCCTGAACTAATATGACATCTCTTATATAAGAGAAGGGTCTTATTAGGGATTCATTAATTTACGGAGCAATCTTTTTATTTCTTATGAGTAACAAGTGCAGAAGTATTTCATCAAGATAAAGTTTTTCTCCTTGTGAAATGCAGAAACAAATAAAAATTCACAAAATATATTAAACAAGATATGTATTATAATTCGTGTTAGTTAAGTTTATAGAATAATGTAAACATTTCTCACATTATTTCATGTATCATATTATTTTATATATGATTCCATCATGGATGCAAGTCAATACTATCAAGTAAATAGTGCTCTTGAAAAGGTCAAGCAAAGATGGTCTTGCTTAATATGTGAATTGGAAATTATGAAGAAATCTCAGAAGTGTAGCTATACCAGAAAGTCCCAAAAACAAAACAAAACCATCTTTGGAGAAGATAATAGTTTTTGGCAATACTGTTTTGCCAAAAACAGTACATGAAAAAAGTGGTGAAAACAGCATTAAAGAAAAATTACTGTGCTGCAGATTTTTGATCTGTTAACACAGTGGTTCTCAACCTTTTTAATGCCGCAACCCCCAACCGGTTGTAAGTCAAGGATTACTCAACTGGTCGTAAGTCGAGGACTACTCAACCGGTCATAAGTCGACTTTCCCTGCCTGGGAGCGCCGAGCATACGTGGTGCCACCCCCTGCGCCGGCCGAGGCGTAGCTGGCAAGGGGCAGCGACGGTGCAGGGCAACCACAAGCTGGGCCATCAGCTGGCCCAGCCCAAGGGAGGTAAGGCACCCGCTGGGCCCCATGCACACCAGCAACCCTCCCTGCGCCCGCCAGGCTCCACCTCCCACCCCTAGTCCTCTTTTACTTACATTTTTAGTAGTTGCTCAGCAGGGAGGGGTGGAAACTTCCAGATAGCTCGCCTTCGTTGCAGACAACTTGCAGCATTGTTTGCAGAATGGGACTTTTGGTGGGCTCAGCAGGGCAGAGACAGCCTGGACAATTCCTATTGGCTTTTGAAAGCCAATAGAATTAGACTCTATTCAAGAAAGTCTATTCTATTGGCTTTCAAAAGCCAATAGAATAAAAGGGAGTAGCACAGCTAAGGAAAAGGGGAAAAAATGGCGGACTGCATTATTTGGCGACCCCCGTGAAATGGTTGTTCAACCCCAAATGGGGTCCCGACCCACAGGTTGAGAACCACTGAGTTAGATGTTTCAACCAAAACCCATGCAGTTCATCTTCACCTGGTGCTGACCAATTTTTGATCTTCCTTGCTCTTTTTTCTACCATTTTTGTTGTTATTACTAGTTCTTTCATTTCAACTTCTGTTTTATTTGCATCCTTGTTGTATTTCTTTGGGTTACCCCATATCTGCTTCCAGAACTGCACTGTTTCTTCCTTGTCAGGTACTGACGGATTCATTGCAGTTTCTCCATTGATGGATGGTAGAAACATTTCTGATTAGATTGAAATTGGAGGTTCTGCCTATAATTTGCAATTCGAGCTTCATATCTTTCTTATATTTTCTTTCTATAATTCCCAATAAAAAAAATTCCGGTTTGGCCTTTATATCTATTAGCAAAATTTCTTCCAGCCATTTCTTTAATAAGTTCCAAAATTTTTATGCCTTTGGGCATTGCTACCACATGTGATAGTAATTCCCAACGGTCTCTCCACACTTCCAGCATATCGAGGATTTCCCCTTGTTCATTCATGCTAATCTTATGGGAGGGAGGTGCCACCTATAAAACATCTTATAGAGGTTTTCCTTATAGGAGGTTGCTAGAGTAATTTTTAGATTTTTTTTCCCATAAACTTTGCCAATTATCCAAATCATTGTGCCCAAAATATTTACACCAAATTATCATCGTTTCTTTCACCTGTTCCTCAATCATATCTTACTCTAATAAATATCAATATAGTTAACTTATAGTCTTGTCTTCCCTACTAAATAAGATTTTATCTAATTCTGAAGAGTCTTGCTTTATGCCCCGTTCCTTTTTGTCTTTATTAAATTTGGATTGGATTTGAAGATACGCCCACCGTTCCAGATCAATTCCTTCTTCCTGTAAGGTATTTCTCGCTTTTAATTTATACTCATGTAGATTGCCGTAAAGTTTAATTTTTATTAATATTATTAAAATACTTAGTTACAATCAGGAATTTGTTACTCTTTCATTTAAAATACTGTTCCATTTAGAAAATTAAAATTGTAAAACAAAATTTGAATGTAATTATAAGCATACTCTTAAAAAATACTGTTCATGAAGAAAATCTATGTAGTCCCAAAGAGCTAACAATATTTATAGCAGATAATCCAACAACACCTTTGAACTGGTTGTCATCAATTTATATTTACTTATTTGCAACGATAAAGTGAATATGAACTTCACCATTTTAAGTATGAAATTAGAATTCCGTAAATAATCTTATCTAGTAAGAAGCCTTGAAACAAGGTGTTGCAGGGTTCATTCCAAAAACACATATTTACTTCCAAAATGTTAAGTTTACTGCTAAAGCAAATTAGATATTCCCTGCTCATATTATGCTTGTTGTAACAAAAAATATTGCAAATATCAAACAATTCTGTTTGATCTGTAACTTTAAGAAAGGTATAAAAGATGTTATGTTAGTTTTAAAGAAAACAGTTTAAGACATTGTTCCCCAGAAAGGAATATCACATAGTACTTTCTCTCCTCATTTGCTTTTATTACCATGTTTCAGTACCTTTATGATTATACTCATGTTATAACAATAATTAATTTGGGAAGTGATCTAAGTCTTCCTTCCAACTCTAAGTTGAAATTGCAGTAGACATTGAAGATTGTAGTATCTTGTACATTTATTCAGATTTAATCTTCCTGTTGCTCAAACAGGACTTCTGCTTTGTGATATTTAACAAAACAAGAAGCATCTCCCATAGATTCAGACTGTCATGAATAATTAATAATAATCTCAAGATTAAATAGCCTATTATATGCTGATGTTTTACAGATAGAAAGGTCACTGCCATCCATCACTTCAGCTTCAAATTTATCCTCTTCTTCACTAAACATCTACCTTTTTCTTTTTGAAAAGGCATATTTTCATCCATAAGGGAAGAAGAAAAGCTTATGATGGACATTTTACTATAAGTCTACTGTTCAGTAAGAGGAGAAATTTAAACGGGATATGACTAAAATGAATGCCTTTTAAGATAAAGCATGACATTTTAAAAAATTAAATTCTCTATGGTACTAGAGAAATTGAAGTGGCTATTTTTGCAGAGTCCCCATTTGCAAGAATTAGTGAATTGTCTTCTGAGAGGTAATCATTTAAGGTTGCTTCACATGATCATCTTTTCTCATATGATGATTACAAATATGCTAGTTTGCTTTTGTGAAATCTCTATTGCAAATCAGCTCTTACTAGTAGAGATTCTTTATCGGTACAGTTGACAGGCCTCACTAAAAGCTAATTTGTGCTGAAGTTTTTCCAAACAGACAAAATGATAGTTAACAGATAGTGATTTTAATCACGCATGGGATTTTCATTCATAGACAATGTGGTATTTTTAAGGTGATTTTAATTTGGAAATCAATACATGAATGAGAAAACACTATTTGCATATTTCAGTGATGTACTTTTATATCAGTCTTTTTTTCAATAAGGTCTTCCCTATACAAGCTGATCTTAAATCTGAGAAAAGGCAAGGACTCAAATTGATTCCCCCAGAAGGAGTGATTATAAAGTAGATTAAATTTTAGTACAGAGAATATATTACATAAGCAAAATAACTTTTCTTTCTTGGATAACATTTGATGTTTTTATGTTGCTTTTATGTTTTACTTAATTAAAATTTGTAATAATGGCTTGGAATAACCCCCAGCAAACATAGAGAAATTTGCTTTGGATTAAAATGCATAAAATTATGCTATGTGTGTGATAATTGGTCATTATTTATTTGTTTTTTTTATAGTATGGCACATTCACGTCACATTTTGATAAAAATACAAGAGATAAAAATGCAAAATATGAAATCTAAAATATTATAAACATATGTCTAGATTACAGATATAATTTTTCTCAGTAGTGGGATTCAAATACCTGAACATCCTGTTCTCTGCGTGAATGCAGGGCTGGGCTTCCGAGGCCTAGAATGGACTTCTGGAAGTGACATCCATTCACTTCCTGTGGGCTGTTCTCGGCCTGGGAGACCTCCTCTAGGCCTCACAGGTCTAGAACGGACTTCCGGAAGTGACATCAATGCACTTCTGGTGGGCTGTTCTAGGCCTGGGAGATCTCCAGGTCTCCGAGGCCTAGAATGGACTTATAGAAGCAGCATGGGTTCAGCCGGCTCTCCGAACTCAACAAAATATAGCTACTGGTTCTACCGAATCAGTGCGAACCTGCTGAATCCCACCACTGATTTTTCTGCTTCATTTGTCACAGCCAGGAAATCAGCAAAGCTCCATTTAGGTTCTGTTTTGGCCCTCTGTTACTATATGTTGGATAGTTTGTTTTTTGGTCCTGCAGTGACAATTCAGTGATGGTATTTTGCTCCATTTATAGAAAACATCTGCATATCTACCATGGCCAGTGCGGATTTGATTCAGTGTTGTCCATATTGCACAGGGCTGGTCAAATCCAGGTAGTTTTTCCAAGATGCAAGGCAAACTTCAATATTGTGGGGGAAGTTTTCTATCCAATATTGTTTCCACATATTGTATATGTTAAAATTATCTTCTACAAGTATTTTAGCAGTAGAAACAGTTGAATGTCTAGGTCTGAATCATTTTCATTCCAAGCAATTGGTCATTACATTGTAACTACAGCTAATGGTTTGCTTACTTGATTTTTATCACTTTAGCACAGTGGTTCTCAACCTGTGGGTCGGGACCCCATTTGGGGTCGAACGACCATTTCACGGGGGTCGCCAAACAACGCAGTCCGCCATTCCCCCCCCCTTTCCTTAGCTGTGCTACTCCCTTTTATTCTATTGGCTTTTGAAAGCCAATAGAATAGACTCTCTTGAATAGAGTCTAATTCTATTGGCTTTCAAAAGCCAATAGGAATTGTCCAGGCTGTCTCTGCCCTGCTGAGCCGCCAAAAGTCCCATTCTGCAAACGGTGCTGCACCAGTTGAGTAGTCCTCGACTTACGACCGGTTGGGGGTCGCGGCATTAAAAAGGTTGAGAACCACTGCTTTAGCACCATCCAAAATCCCTGAATTGTATATTTTTCCCAAACTCACTGAGAACAGTGTATTTGAAGTAAATGCTACCTAAAGCAATACATTTTTGTTGTGCTGTATCTTCCATAACTACTGTAAAAGAAATTGATTTTTTACAGTAGTTATGGAAGATACAGCAGTTACTAGAAAATCTTTATTCCAATACCAAATAATAACTACTGGTAAAGGATGCTAAAATTGCTAAATAGTTGTACTTATTTCATATGCTAGTAAGAGATACTCAGGATTTTGCCGTTAAATAATACATACAACAAAACTACCACAGAAACAAGTTGGTT